TCAAAATTGCAACCATAATTTTACTAATTTTTGAAACTGAAATGAAATTTTCCAGATTTTAGTGAAAATTTTACTAATTTTTAGAAGTTGAAAATGAAAATTTGATAAAACTGCTTTAGACCTCCAATGTTTTAAACATCTTTACTTCGTTGTTGAATTTGAAAATAGTAAACTTTCGCAAAGTTTTTGTGATAATAACATTTGAGTGAACAAAAATATTTCGGTTTCCAATGTGAAGAATTAATTTACCATGAATATAGAGCATTTTGTATTGATATTCTTCAAGTTCTTTCTATCAACGACGAAACGCCTGAAAAATCGATCATTCACTTCGAATTTCCGTACAAAACATCTCATACAAATATTAAATAATAAACCACACACCACTTTTTCAGCATTATATCTACATCTCAAATAACCAAGCCACATCCTCCACAAAATTTCATCTCTCATATCGCGAAACCAACCTCTTCCACAGCGAAGAGCTTAACCCTTGGCAGACGAAAATTTTTCGAAATGCACAAACCTTCAGCGGATGAAGCTAAATTATATACCGATTGCTTAAATGATAGAAAAATAGGAAACTACGTATCAACCTCATCCTGGTCCAGTAATAGAATCATTTGTTTACTACGTACAAGGGAACCTTTTCCACCAGCACACGCCGACTTTAATGAAACTTGTTGAATGTTGAAACTTTAATGAAACATGTTTTCTTATCGGCCAACATCCACTTGGAACGAATCAAAACATTCCTCAAAGTTGAGAATTAAAAATATATTTCTTGCATCTCTGAAACTAGAACGCGTAGAAAAGAAATTTTCATATTAACACTAAACCTACCGAGCGGTCAAATTGACTTTTTGAAATCCCCCTATAAAAACTTCAAGAGTACATCTACTGAGACATTAATTGACTTACAATTCAGTTTGCGTATTGCTAAATCAATTTCTATACTTATTTCTCAGAGAAACATCTATCATCTTCTTAATAATTACAAAATCAAGTCTGGTAGTTTCAATATTAAATTGATTGCCTGAAAATGAATAATTTATATTTCTCTCCTACACCCCTAGTTCCAGAGATATTCTAAAAAATATATTTCCAACCCTCAACTATAAAGAGTGTTTTCACTCATTCAAAATAGACATTAATAAGAAAAAACACATCAAATATTTTCTTAAGGACTACATCTGTAAGTTTCATTAAAACCAGCGTATGCTAGTTGAAAAGGTCCCCTTACTAATATTCAAAATGTGAAAACTCGATCTCCCCACAACATTCCTCCGCAAAGGGTTAAATACCTTATCCGTCCAGGAAGAAAGCGGCACGCTCAAGATAAAGACAGACGGAACGGCAAAAAATGCCTCACAAAAAAACGCACGTGTACGCGTAGAGGGCTGCGGATTGACAAGCAACCGTGGATGGCGAAGGGCGAGGGGAGGGCGCAGTCGCAAGAGGCTCTCGTGGGTCGACAGAAAGGCAGGCTAAGGTGTCGCGGCAAACAGAGAGTGGTGGTAGACAATGGATGCGTAGTTAGTAAATTACAGGCTGGCTGGCACAATAGCGTGCGGAGCCTGGTCTCTACGTGCGAGCGTGCGTGCGTGCGTGCGTGCGTGAGCGTGCCACGACTACGCGCGTGTTTGTCTAAGTACGTTCTAGGCTGCCGCGGTTTACAGAGAGCTGCGTACACCGGTGCGTATCCACCGTTCGTCCATGCATGCAGGGTCCGCGTGGGAGACTCCTCGTATATATCAATCCGATCTGCAGGTACCTGTACATTACGTGCCTGCATTAGATACCGGCCGCAAGATTGCCTTGTGTCCCCCATTCTCATTTCACCGCTCATTCTCGTCGCGCGTCCCGTGTCCCGCTGTTTGTGGAACCGCCACCGTTACGACGCGTCGAGGGAAACTAGATTAGGACGGGACGGGTTTCGTGCGGACTCGATTAAATGATCGGGTTTTCGAAGAGTATGATGATCTTTGATTTTGGTCGTTGTGCTGGGGCTAGCTTCTTGTGATTTGGGTGGTTTTTCGAGATTTTTGGTGAGACTGATGGTATTGGATGAATGTTGATGATTGTTGTTGGATTTGGTCATTGGGAGAGTATGGAGTTTTTGTTCTTTCCGGACTCGATTGTGAGTGAATTGTTGGGGAGGTTTGTTGTGGTTGGTGATTTGTATAATAGGGTATTAGTGGATTATTTGGTAGAGAGATTGTGTTTTAGTTGAATAATTTTGAAATATGACTGTGCACGCACTATTGTAAGAGGTTTTTGTTACACTTACTTTATTGTAGAATGTTCATTGTTGATATTATAATCTTGCAGACTCGGAGTGCATTTATTTTTGTATTTTTATGTTTTTATGTTATTTTATTATTTTTTATGTTATTTTCAACACAACGTTATTGTCACATTCCATATACTCTCTTTAAAATTTCCACGAATATTTGCATCCTTATTCAATAATCCTTTACATTCGCTATTACTTATCTGAACATCCATATTAAAACAATCTTCTACGTAATTTTTTTCCGTTCTCATAATAATTTGCTTTACATCTCCATTTTCTAACACCTTACATCAATTCTTGCTTCAAACATAAGCAGTTCCCACAAAAACACAGTAACACTAACATTTCGATAAATATTTTGATCACCGACACAAAGGCTAAACCAAAAACTAACTTCCCTCTTTAACTAACACCAAACCCACATCCACCCGCAAATCCGAAAAAACCGCACCAAGATCAACCCCCAAAAAGCACATTCCCCCTGGAAAGAAAAGAGAAAAAACTACCCCTCCCGCCATCAATCCCACCGCAGCCGGCTGACATATCACGAGCGGCGCGCGCTGACATTAAAATCCGCCCTATCGAGACTCCTCGAAAGTTCGAGTCGGAGCGGCGACGACGCCGAGTTCGACTAATTAGACTCGTCTAAAAGCGGCCGCTCATTAACGGGCGCATGGCGATTTATCGCCAGCCAGCGGCTGGCCAATGGAAAAAGGGGGACGAAAGGGCGGAGACGATGGGTAGAGGCGAAAAGTCAAAGCAAGCCCGAGCCGCGGAGAAAGAGAAAGAAAGAAAGCACGAAGGGAAAAAAGATGCAGTAGGGACGTTCGGCGGGGGAGGGGGAGAGAATGATCCGCGGCAAACAAAGAAGTGAGAGAGAGGGTCGGGGCGAGGGTAGCGGTGTCGAGGGCCGCGATGGAGAGGAAGAACTGTAGGAGGAAATGAAGCGTGTCGGAGGCTGGAGAGAAGTCGGCCGAAGGAAAAATTAAAGTCGTAGGATCGGAAGGGAAGGAAGAAGAAGAAAGTCCGTCGAGGAACACTGGAAAAGTCGACTTCCACTTCTACCAGGCCGACGGGGGTAGCCAACGCAGGATGAAGAGGTGGCCAAGGAAAAGAGGTAGCTAAACCGCTGAAGGAGAAGCGAGGAAGGGAGAGAATATCATTCGTATTTCGCGCTGGCGGAGAAGGCGGCGTGTACCAAGCGGTCGTCTCGGTAATACTTTATTTGTCCGCCCCTGGATTTTCTTTCTTTCTGTTTTCCAGCCGCCGCCGCCGCCGCCGCCGCCACCGCTGTTTCTTCCTTCCCTCTTGCGGCGGTGTTTCCACCGGCTGTGCTCGACCGCGATTCTTTTCACACTCGGCCATGTTTTCCGCCATCTTTCTTGCTAATTACCCGACCCGTTTTCCGCGGTCAGAAATCTCTTCTATCCCCTCGCTCTTCCTCTTTCTTCATCCCCACAGTCTACAACCATCTTAGCTCCCCTTCCCTCTTCGTCCTGCACCGCTGTACGCCAGTCTCGACGTCGCTTCTTCTCCTTTCTTGCCGGCCTGTTCCCGCGAACCGCGACTTCACGGAATACCCATGAAATATTCAGACGACCCCAACCCTTCCCTCGTCGCCGCGCTCCGTCTGCCACGCTCGTCCCGACGATTCCGCAGACTTTTACGGACCGCCCCGTTGTATCCCTGATCCCAGTTTGCGTCCTTTACAAGGAGTACCGACCGCGCACGTAACCCCGCGGAAAAAGGAGGCAAGTTACTTAGCGGGTCCCTCGCCGCTTGGATCGGACCCGGCTTGTGAAAAGAGATCCGAATTGGGGATTTCGATGGAAAAACGGGTAAACGGACGCTTCGTCTATGTTCCGCAGTGGGCGTTAAGGCTCTCCGGAGGGTCCATCCTTGAATTCGAAATGGATCTTGGTTTCGACACGGCTCGCATCGATGCTGGGGGTTCGCTGAGGTTTATAGGCGAGCTGGTGTTTTTTTGGTTTAACCCCTTGCCTTATAACAATGTAGACTCGTGGTGAACATTTTAAACTGAATTCGACGAGTCTAATTTACTTTTAATATAAATTAAATATTACCTGTCTATTATCAATCGTTTGTGGTAAACGTAGGCATAGAAGGAGTATTAAATTCTTTTCTTTTTCTATTAAATTATTAATGATAAAGCTGTTTTATCAAGTTGAGAAATGAATCATAGGGTAAGGGGTTAAAAATGTGGGTGACTATTTTTGAGCGATTTTATTTGAAACGGTGGATTATTTGGAAAGTTTCGTATGCAGGTTTATGTTTGGTGAATATTGTATGTTTGGGGATATATCGTCTGTAGATAGTGCTTGCAAAATATATTCGGAGATTGTGCAGAGTTTTTAGGTGCTTTATATAGATTATTATTACAGTATTTTAATATTTTTTATTTTTTTATTGGTTTCTATTAGTTTGTATATTTTGTATGGAATAAGGGAACTGTTTCTTTGTGTTGAGCTACTAATTCTTTAATTGAATGGACATATTATTGAATTTGAAAATATTTTCCTTGAATTCAACTTGTGTGTAATAGTTATTAGAATCAATTAAGCAAGATCGAATGAAAGCTTTATAGCCCCTTCGCTAAGGAATTTGTCAGGAATGAATGATAAACCCTAGTACGACGTCACAAACCCCAATATTAAGGCGATCACGGCGACAAATGAGCACCTACCTTGATAAAACGCTTGGCCTTCGTCAGGAGACCTAGCGTAGTGTGTCTTGAAGTTTCTGGACCTAAGGGGACCAGAACCTTCAGCTTTTCGAGGCAATTTCTGAGGTGCGCTCTCCTGCAACAAAAAAGGAAGCATTTTATAAACACGAGTACAGTACTTGTTACATATAAAGAGTCTAACATTGTAAAGAATATTTTCATTTGTTTAATATAAATACAATAACTTAGATACTACTACAATGACGTATTTAAAACAATGTTTTAATAATATTATTTTCGTATTATTAGTTTCATTTTCGATTGAAATTTGATTGATATTGTTCTTATAGAAACAACAAAGTTTATTTTATGATCTCTAAAATTCTTCTAGCTACATAAGAAGTATAAAACGTGCAAAGTGCCTCTAGAAATCAAGCATCTTTTATGTATGTCCCTCAACCCCAACTTGATGGATTGTTTTCACCCCTTCCACGTGAATGATTGCCGATAAAAAATACGTAGTGTGCGACAACTGCTTTGAAACTACTGAAGTTTCATAGATATCGACGGGCGTCACTTGGGTACATTTTCTTGTTGACCTTTTGACTGTGATACCGTGTCAGACAAGTGGCAAAGGTTTCAAAGAGAATTCAACAAATACACATGTCATTTGATGACATTCTTTTCAGTTCAACTTAACCCCTTGCCACTATGATATCTTCCGCAATTGTGCTCGATAAAACTACATACTTTCTCGTCAGCAATTTACTAGACAAAAGAACAGAACACCACACCACTTTTATATCTACGTATACTTCAGAGGCCAACAATCAATGGCACAAAAATAATTTGTTCGAAATCTTCACTATAAGTCTGACACGTGATTATAAAGCAAGAAATAAAATATACTATTTTCTTTATCAATCGTTTTATGTTAGAGAAAATGTAGATACACCACGAGCATTAACTTCTTTTTCTGTTCTAGTAAATTATTATAGTGAAATATATTATTAGCAGTGTAGTGTTAATATTATTAATAGTTTGTCAATAACATTATGATCAGTCTAATACAGATCTTACAATTATTACAAAACCGTTATTAACTTATAAATTCAATTTTAATACGCTTAAAACTTTCTAAATACTTATTCGGTCTATTAAGAAATTAATCATTCTTACTTCCAACAACATAATAATAGCGCTCAACAATAAAACAAACCACTTCAACATGACACTAAAGAAACCAATCAAAACCTCAGAAAACCTCACATACAGTGCTCAAAAGAATATAATAAAAAAATACCGCAATTATTAATTCCTCATACTAAAACTTCAATTAAACGAACCACTTCTATGCTAACGCTACTTAAAAATCAATCGAACCCAATCTCATCATCTATTCCTCACACACTGCAACCGACCAACCCCGCACACCGCACGGCCCATAAAAACAGCACAAAGAACAAATCGAACAAAGAGCCCCGCAGGATCGCTCCCCGCGAACTTAATACCCCCGGGCTGAAGTGAAACCCGTACCCATTCCCGCGATAACCGGCTATCACAGAAGGAGCGGCGTGTATAGGTTGACCAATTCGAAACTTTAACGCGCTCGTAATTCGCCGGGGTACACCGGGAAGAATCGGCTGGAAGGGGTTGCAGGGGGTGGTTCGAATTACCCGAAAGCTTTCCTGGCATCCGTTTTTCGTGTCACGTAGGGCGCACGATGAATGGAGCGGAATCTCGCCCGGTAAGCTTCGCTGGAAGCCCGTAAACGGAGGACAAAATTGAGGTTGGAGAACGGAAGAAACGGCGGGAAAGAGCGGGAGGGGAGGGGAATCCCCACGGCACACCGTAACGTAAGGAATTCGACGAACGATCGAGCACTTCGGCGGCCGCAGCCGCGTGCAAACGAAGACTGGCCGCGAGAGCGGCCGGAAAAAGCGATAAGATCCCGATTATCGCGGCGATCACGGGCCATTAGCCGAACGAATCGCGCGCGATAAACATACAGCCGGAATACGAAAGCAGGAAACGCGCGGGAATTATTTCCCTTCCCTGAATATCTTGCGGCGACCGTTGAAAACGGAGGAACGACCGGCCGCGCCGCGCCGGCCTTGGGTACTTAGGCAGCGTTCACACTATGGTTTCTGTATCGCGATTCACGTCGCTTGATAAGGTTCCCATTCACCTTGAAACTTGCGGCGATGCGCTATAAGCGATGGGTTTGAACGCTTTAAAGGCTTTGTTTGAGTGCAATGTCTATCACGAAGCTTGAAAGACTTGAACTTATTTTTTTTCCTGTTTTACACAGATATGAATAATAATTTTGTTTATTAATCATTTTGTGTAGAGTGATGCATTTCAGACGGATCTACTATGTGTAATGCGAGAAGATTGTCGATGTGGATGAGATGTCGTTGGCAATTTCGGAATAAAAACTTATCGATGCGCGTTGCACGTCTTCCAGTGCAAGAGGTTAACACTATTTCTACCGTTTGTTTATTTTCGATCTCAAGTCAAGCTTTTAGGACTGTTTTAATTGTCATAAACCCATACACTCCTAGAAAAGCATCCATGACTTTCCAAAATTTTACTACTACTACTGCGATCCTATTATCGCGGTCCGGTTGAACAGAAACTCTGTAGTTTTCGAGAAGTCAGACTAAATTCAAACAAACTCTATAGATTTCAGAAATCGTAGTGTGAAAGCAGCCTTAGCTGAGCAAAGGGGTGATGGGGGTTGGAATTCACCAGCTCCAGCGCTTCCCTGGCGAACCCGTTCCCCCGCTGGGAATTCAGTGACTATGCTAACGATATTCGATATCAATATTTTCTACGTAAGCATCGGAGGATCGCGGCGGGACGAGGTGATTGTAAGGTGTGAGACAGGGCGATTGGATTTATCATGTTCTGAGTGTTCGATGGTCTTGCAGATGAAACGTGTGGATTTTTTGTTGATTTCTTTGGAATGTTATTTTTATGGGAATGCTGTAGTATGTTGATTTGGGTTTTTGGTTTTTGATGCTCACGGTGATTTAAGTCGTTTTAGGAATTGGATTATGGGGACAATTTGAGATAAGCGTTTAGTTTGGAATGTTCTTTGTAGTAATACTCCTTTAGTGTAATGTAAAGAATCGATTTTTGCATTCTTGTTGTTAGTTTTCAATGTTACAAATGCAGGTTTGAATTTTTTAGAATAATGTACAGCACTTTTTTTAAACTAATTATAATGTATTGATAGACTTTTCATATTATTTATATTATTTACATTATTATCTATAGATACTGAAGGGAAATATGTTTCAGATTAAAAAGAGTTTTACTTATCTTTATCGTTAAAAATAAAAGAAATATAAAAAACCGCATTATTTATGAGATGACTCAATATATTGTCCGTGAGGTTAGAGCAACGCTCAAGAAAAATACTAATTCGATACTTGACACCAATGCTCGAAGAATCACAAGTGGACGAAGTACACTTCGCAACGTCTCGTTCGACAATCGACGATGTCCCTGGCCACCGTCGAACACCGGTTCGTTTGCAGCACGTGATTAGGAGATGCAGCTGCGATTTACAGCCTTGACGACGCTGCTCGCCGGGAGAAATTAAGAGGCGTGTGTCCGCGCGGATTCCTCGTGATAGCTTGTCGCGGCGAAGGACGCGTAGGTCGACTCACAGATACTTTACGCGTGCTCCACATTAACGTCCCACGAACGGCGAACGCTGTGTTCGCTGTCTGAGAAACATAAACTCGTTGTTAAATTATATTTAATGGTTTTTTTACTAATAGCTATTACGTAAAACGGCAATCCTGTTCCGTATTTCGTTTCTTAGAAGCATGTTCCAGTAAATTGCCATTAGAACGCCATTTTCTTTAAGCTTCTGAAGGATTTAACCGTTTGGACTTGAAAGAGTTTTTAAAAAAGAACTGTTTTATAGAGAAATCACATAGAAATTGGAGAACAGAATTATTTTATTTCAGTATTTCGTGTATTAATATATTATAAAGAAATGGTAATATTTTGCACATTTTCAAAGCTGGTTTTAGAAGTTTTCTTCTTAAATGGTTTAAACTTTATTAAATTCTTTTTGAAGTCTTCCTCGCGAATCAGACTCAAAATTATAAGATATGAAGATATAATGACTTGATAATAATTGAGACACAAAATCACACATCATCATCTACGAAATCCTCTGAATTGGAAGTAATTTACTACCATTACCATTAATATAATTCTAGCTTGGCACCTTAGAACAACAACTTCCACTTTATCCTTATTTCTACTGTACCTCGTAACTACTATACTATATCACTATCTTCATGCTCGTACGCCTAACATTCAGATCAACATCTAAACTTCGAATTCTCAAATTACCTATGGTATCAATATCTACCAAAACAAAGAACCAAGAATTCGGGACGCCCTACGCCAATCATTATCAAGACCTTCCCATTCCTTCAAAAACTTCCACCAACCAAAACTCCCAATTATCAAAACACCAATCTCACCAATACATTATCAAAACCACCAATTCCAACCCCCTAAACTACCCAAAACAAAGGGAACCCGACGAAATCAATAAACGAAGCACAAAGAATCAAGGGCGACACGATTTCGTCATCGAAGACAGAAAGCCAGACCAAAGGGCCACAAGCAAACCGCGACAAGGTTTATTTTCAGCCAGCCGTAATAAGTCCGCCGTGGACGTGTGCCACGTGTGCCAAACACGCGCCGTTGCAGGCATTTAATTATAAGTTTATGCCCGGTTTATTGTTCCGTCGTGGAAAATGGAGACGACGAGCGGGGTGGCTTGTCGCAGACGACGACGACGACTACAATGTAGTCGGTGTCGCCGACCAACCCGTGTTGAAGACGGGCCTGAGGGTTGCAGACCGCCGGGGGTGGTTTGGAGTTACGTCGAAAGAGCCCAAGACGTCGACCGACGTTTCCACGTGTACGGGGGCGGGGGAGGCGCACGTTTGCACGTACGTTTTACGAGAAACAATATGCCGGCTCCGGCTTAATGACGTCATCAAACGGTATTATGTCTCGCGGGCCGCAGAGTGGACGGTTTCCACCCCCTTCGTCCTTGGATAGATGCATTCGCGGCTGCGAGGCAGCGGTACGCGCCGG